AACTAGATGAACTTTGAGGTCCCTTCCCACCCAAATCATTCTGTGATTCTGTGACATTTGGGAAAAGCAATCAAGCCTTTTACATCCAGGATGTGAGGCTTATGTACGGGGACAGTCCACATGGAACAGAGAAACCGCTCCCCTGTTATACAGCCTGGTCAAGTTTGTCTCCAATTCCCCCAGCTTGAGGACCTGGACATTGTTCTGGTCGTTCTGGGCAATGGCTCCCCAAGCAATCACGGTGTTGTTGGTGGTCTTGCAGCAGGCACTGGCCCAGATGTAGTCGGGTATATTCACCCTGTCACCGCTGATGTTGAAGTTCCCAGGCACAGCCCCCACAATGACGTAAGTGGTTGGACAGTTCTCTGTTTTACTGTACATCGTTTGCTGCTCGTAGACTCTCCACTGGCCTCGGTTGAGTGAAGGGTTCATGGGCACTGCGTTGGTGAGGGTGAAGGTCGCATTCCTCTTTATCAGACTGTTGTGTTGGCCATTGGGGTTCAAATGGCCACGGTCCCAACCGCTGCTCTCATAGTCTTCATTGACAGCCTGACTAGCCATGATCTCCTCTTTTGTGACATCGGTTGCATTTGTGAGGGTTCCCACTGTTTGCATGTTTTTGGACAAATTTGAACGTACCAGCTAGACAGGTAAAGAAGAAGAAAAGTTGTTACTATTGGGGATGGGAGTAGTGGAGCAGGCTTCCCTGGAGCAGAAGTCTCCAGGTGTCAAGAACAAATTTTTCTCATCCAAGAGGAATCTACAGGTGCCCCTTCTGGAGGAACACAAGAGCTTTTAAAAGAAAAGGAGCTCAGAATATGACTGCTCTCCTTTTGACTTGGGACCTTTGTTATCCAGCCTGCAGCCCGTGCTAGGAGTGTGGCTGGATCCATGAGACAATGAGCATTTTCCTCTCTGGCTTTGAAAGGAGAAAGGTCTTGGGTGAGAAACCTTCACTGACAAGCTGGTTCTCTTTCAACCTGAGTCCAAACACACTTGTACCCCAGATCCTCCCACCCCCATTCCCTCATTCTCTGATTCCATGTGATGCTGCTACAGGTGTAGCACATTCCTGGAACACCAGTGTTTGTCTCCTGTAACCCCAGACACAGGAAGATGTGTTGAGAAAGCAGTCCTAGAGGTGAGGTTTCCCAGGGAGGGGGGCTATAAGTCACTGCAAGGATGAAAGGTTGTTTGTTCATTCATGAAAAAGACCTCAATGCACATGGGATCTGCTACTGCAGTGCTAATAATGTGTCTCACAGCTGATCTGGGCCAGGGAGCATCTTCTGCAGCCTCACTGTAAGGAAGTTGGAAACGATCAGCCTCTCCAAGGAGCTCACAATCCCCAAAGAGTCCTGAGGAACGCAAGTACTGAAAAAGAACCTCTGGAGAAAGTTACCAAAATCAGAGATTTTGTAGGTGGCCTGGCTTGGTGGTCCAGGAGGAAAAGGATCAGGTTGGATGGGGCTCTGATTAACCAGGTCTAGTGGAAGATGGTCTTGCCCATGGCAGGGGGGTTGGAATGAGATGATCTTTGTGGTTCTTTCCAACACAAACCCTTCTATGATTCTGTGATTCTATGAAAAGTGAGAAGCTTTTATCCCTACCCTGCCCTAAATGTGGAGGCTGCAGTGGTGCAATATCCTATTTGTTGTTTGAATTCCAATGAATACAAAGTGCAAATGGGGGGTTTTCTAGAACTCCAACACCTTTCTGTTCATCTTTGGGGAAACATATTTATTCTCCCTCTGGAACAGGGCACATGGATTTCTCCTCTGGTTCATGAACACTTACATTCCATCCTGATACTCTGTCCTTAGCAACGACCTTAACTTCCTCTCTTTCTGTTCCACAGTTTCCAAGGTCTTTTTTACTG